CCCCGCCCGGCCCGCCCTGGCCCCGCCCGGCCCGCCCTGGCCCCGCCTCCTTTCCAAACCACGCCCACTCCGGGCCCGCCTCCTCCCCAGCGATGCCCTGGGAGACTGCCCTTCGGTAGCGTTCGGGCGCTGACTCTCCACGATAATTGTCATCATTATGTTTTAAATCCGCTTAAGCACTGTGGAGACTTTGTTTGGACCTCTCCTAAATAAACGGGGTGAACAGTGTATGTCATGTCTGCCTTACACGCAGGTCTTGGGTTTGAGCCCCAGGGGAAGGAACCGTGGCTGAGAAGTGACGTCTGGCAGGGTGTCGGGCACAAACCTGTAATCCCAGCGCCTGCGTGGCTGAGGCGAGACGTTTGCAAGCTCGAATCCACTAGGGCAATTTAGCTAACCCCTCCCTGCATGTGATGTTTTAAAGCCTGGGGATGCGGCTGGTGTGAGGCCCTAGGCTCAAGCCCCGGTCTACAGAGACAAAGCAGCTCCGGGAGACTCGAGGGTCATGCTTCCTGGTCTTTGTGCTTCCGGGTCTCTTCTCTGAATCTCTGGCCTCTCAGCTGCAGGAGCCTGTGTAGGACTCTGCCCTCTCACTCAGCGCAGTAACAGCCCTGTGCCCCAGGGGTTCTGAGGAGGGCTGCCTGCTCCTGTCCCTGGCCATTCCCTGGCTCACTGGCAGGTGCCAGCTCTGGTCAGCCTACTCCAGGATGGCTTGGGGGCTCAGAGCCTTTCTGGAGCTTGGCCTGGGCTTCCCCATCTGTGGAAGGGATTCCTTCGGAAGCCGGGTGAGGCTTCCTAAGGGGCCCAGACCCGCTAGCTGTGGTGTGGTGTGCCATATGCCCCTAGTCATGCTTTTTTTTTTTTTTTTTCCAGAACCAGGGATTGAACTCAGGCCCTTGTGCTTGCCAGGCAAGTGCTTATTCTACTGAGCCATCTCCCAGGCCCCCTCTTCTTTGCTTGAAGCCAAACAGGCCCGCCCCAGGCAGGATCCACTGGTGTGGGCTCGGTACCAGGTGTCAGGGAAGGCTGATGCTGTACGGGGTGGTATGAGACAGCTGGAGTAGAAACGAGCAGGATGGCGGAATCCAAGCCCAAACAGAGGCTGTTTCCAGGTCTCTAGTGCAACTCCTTTTGAGCCTCAGGCGACAAATGACCCTGACTGGTGTTGTGACCCCACATGGTGGGTGTCTGGGCATCCAGGGAACCACTCGGGATATGCAGCTCTGACGTGAAATGGGAGAAAGCACTTAGACTGAATCGCAACAGGATGCAGAGAGCCTTGAGTGTTTGCAGGGCTGGCCCAGGTTCGAGAAGATGCTGAGGTTCCATGACAGAGGCCTCCCTCTGGGCCCATGAGGGAGGGCACACAGGACACACCCCAGCTGGTCCTGCCTGACTGTGGGCAGCGAGCAGCACCTGCTGCCTGGCCAAGGGCCCTGCTGGTGTGCTGAATGTGTGCCTGCTGGACACCTGCGCCAGGCAGGGGCGTGACTGAGAGGCCGCGGCGTGAGGCCCCCTCGATGCCTGAATGGTGTGGGTGCCAGCCAGACTGGAGGGCTTCTGGGGCACTCTGGGTCTCCGAGACCTCCAGAGCTCCTGGGGTGAACTGCAGGGGGTGGCAGTGGGCATAAAAGGAGAGTAAAAAGGCACCGATTGCCTTTTCATCCTGACAGTGGCCCTTGGGCCCATGTGCTCTGGGCAGCTGTCACACGGGGATGAGTGTCAGGGCCAACTCCTCAGATAGTGTGCAGGGCCTTGTGTGTGGTGGAGCCTGCGTGTGGAGGAGGAGGCCTGTCTGGGTGTCCGTGGGGCAGGTGGGGGCTTGTGGCAGGGGCTTGTTCCGAGGTCCCAGTGGGGCTCATCAAAGCCAGCCCTCGAAGCCGCGCGTCGCAGGTGGGGAGGGATCCAGCGCTGTGCAGGAGGGCCGTCCACCCAGCCCTGGTCCCTGCGCTTCTCTGTGGTGCAGAGACTTAGTCAACACTAGCAGCGGCTCTCGGCTGGGCTGGGGCAGACGGGGCAGTGCAGGGGCCCTTTCCTGTGTTCCTTAGTACAACTGGCTTTTGAACCTTGTTAAAGGGTAGCCTGGCTAGAAAACCGAATGAAAAGCTCTGCAGCATGCACTACAGTGGCAACAAGACACAAGCAAGGCTGGCTGGTCATGCTGCCGTCCCCGAACTCTGGGAGGCTGAGGCAGGAGGCTCGCAGGACTAAGCCCAGTCTGGGAAACGTCGTGACTTCGTGAGACTCTGTCCATGAAAGCGGTTTTTGGAAAGAGCCTGCACTGTGGCTCAGCATAAAGGCCCTGGGTCCAGTCCCAGTACAGCAAGAGAGGTGTGGGGAGGGAGGAGCCAGCGCCTGGCAGGTGTGCTGCATCCAAGGGCCCTAGCCTGGACAACTGTCACAAGGAGCTGCTTGCTCTCCCATCCTCTCCGGCAAGGCGGGTGCTGAGGAAAAGTCCCCTTCAGAAGGGAGTTGGAGTAGGGCGAGGGACTTGAGCACAGCCCCCTGCTGAGAACCTGAGGCCCGGCTCTGCCTGACTCTTCTTCTTCTTCTTCTTCTTCTTCTTCTTCTTCTTCTTCTTCTTCTTCTTCTTCTCCTTCTCCTTCTCCTTCTCCTTCTCCTCCTCCTCCTCCTCCTTCTTCCTTCTTCTTTTTTTTTTTGTGGAACCGGGGATTGAACTCAGGCCCTCGCACTTGCCAGGGGAGCGCTTATTCCGCTGAGCCATCCACCCGGCTGCCTGACTCATCTTACTGCCCCAGCTCCTGCTTTCTCATTCTTGGGGAAAAACTAACGAGAACAAAGTTCTGGTCTGCTTTTCCCTTTCGCCGAAGAAGCCCGAGGTCTTAGAGAAGTTAGAAGCTGGGCTCTGGCGCAGCCCCTGACTAAGGTCCCGGGGTGACGGTCCGCTGGCCCCCAGCCGCTGCTGCAGTGCACACGCTGCGCCTGCAGGGGGCGTGTCCGGCCCACGAGCGAGCCGGCCGCTCAGCGCGCAGCCTGCCGCAGGAGGGGACGGCGACCGCCCGCTGGCTGGCTCCGGCCGGGCTCTGCAGGGTACTCAGGTCCAAGGGCCGCAGAGGGAGCCTGGCCCCTCCAGGTGCCCGGAGGCCGCGACGGGGCGCCAGGCAGGCTGCTTGCGGCGCTTCCTGCGGGGCGAGCCCGGGTCACGGCCGCGGCGGGCTGCGCTGCCCTCCAAGTCCTGTCTCAGCCCTGTGGTCAGAAACCCGGCCCTGAGCGGGGCGTGGTGGTACCCGGGAGGCTGAGGCAGGAGCCCGGCAAGTTTGCACCCAGCCTGGTAGCTTAGCGATTTAATGAGAACCTACCTCAAAGTTTTAGTTTTAGTTTTAGTTTTTAAAGGGCTGGGTATTCAATAACGGAACTAGAACAAATGGGGTATACGGATGAATGTCCATTTTGTATCTGTGTATTCAAAGTGGTTAGGATAGATATATAGTTGCATTCTCTTAATGAATAGAATGATTTGTTCTAATGGTGTTTGTAAATAGGATCTCAAGTCCGCATCTTGTACAGCAATTAACCACTAAGAAGAATATATGCAGTGTGTTATTTGTTGAAACTGTACTTCCGATTTGATTTGAAACT